ATTATTTCTACACTTAGGGCTACTCGCGGCTCGGGGTTTCCACCTCTACGATTGTGGTTTCTTCGCAACTGGGATTCACTGCTTTGTTTGCGTTCCTTTTTGTTAAGCAAAAGTTTACGGCACATTCAGTGCTATCGTTTTGTTGACTTTGGGTTCAGGTGTTTTGGCCTTGCTTACTAGTAGTGACCGGCCAGAAGGTGAGTCGACTAAGCTGTTTTGGGATTCATCATGACACTGTCGGCGGCAGCTGTGTATGGACTGATTCTGCCCCTGACTGAGTTGATGTTTATCAAGGCCTAGCAAGTTGTTATATATACATTGGTATTGGAAATTGAAATTATTTTGTGTATATCTACCACTGTTTTTTGTGCTATTGGGATGCTCATAAACCATGACTACCAGGTAAGTGATGCTTTCAAAATTTCTATTTCTAATAGATTTTGTAGTGAATTTTGGAAATGCCGATGACTTGGCAATTGTTTAATTGTAATTCGTTCATTGTATAAGTCTTACTGTTTTTTTCAGAATATCAAATAACAAATAAACATGATTTTCATTTATTAAAAGAAACACAAACATATATAGTTAGAATATAGTAATCTGACTAGAATCGTATTATGCACATTCGTATTATGCATCATATTTCTAGTCAAACCAAGACGTATATTTTGTAATGTTTTACAACCACCATTTGCACTCCGAACCAAATATTAGCACGGTCGAAGTACCACCTTAATAATGAAGCAATGATGGTTTACATACGATTATGTGATGAATTGTAGGCTATTCCGCGGGAAGCAAAAGCATACGAATTAGGAGAAGCAAAATACTACCAAGTGGTAGTGTGGAACAGCATAACGGGGCAATTCTTTTTCTTGGGAGCCATCGGAGTAATTTCTTGTGCATCGTCGTTGCTGTCCGGAATCATGATGGTGGTGTTGCTTCCGGTAACAGAAGTTTTGGCTGTTATTTTCTTCAATGAGAAGTACTTCCAAGCAGAGAAGGGCTTGGCTCTTGTTCTATCCCTTTGGGGTTTCACATCTTACTTTTATGGCTAAATTCGAAACAGCAGGAACAAAAAAGTGGAAGTCCAGGCTGATCGATGAGGAGAATAATCTCTCTCAATCTCAAGCAACAGAGATGAACATGATCGTGAATAATCCCATTTCTGCTTAAAAGAAGAAATTAATACCGATTGTTGCAAGGAGATCGCATGCTCTCCAAATGCGTTTAAAGATTTGCAATTGTTAAAATTCCCCCTCCCAAATGGCATGAGGAAATGCGCTTTTCATTGTTTTTGTCCGATTTCTGGGGAGATCACTTGCTATTCTATCCGGACGAAGTGTCTAATTTTCAACAATATATATAGGGATTATGACGATGTCTAGCATCCTCCCACAATGCAAAAATAATAATTGAATAACGTTGCAACAAGTAAAAACTCCTTATCAAATAGGATAGTTTGGTTGAGGAAGAGATAAAATTACATTATTATTATTATTAATATATAATTGTAAATTTCATAAGAGAAATTCTGAATTTTTTCATGTATCCTAGCTGGGTTAACATATTTTAATGGATCTACTAGAGGGGCGAAGACATGGGTTCATCAGTATGGCACTTTACATAAAATTGTAACTAGTTGATTTCTGTCACCACCAGAGGGTTTAATCGGAAATAATGGAAGTTTCGGCCGGAATTGTGACCAGAGAATAGTCGGGGTTGACGAAAAGAAGAATCAGAAAAGGGGCAAAGAATAGGAACAGAATTATATGGATTATTCATTAAGCGATCATTACAGAAATGATAAGACTATTTATTACATAAAATCTCTCAAAACTGTAAATGACGGCTGGCAGCATTAATTGTAAGCTTAGCCTAGACTTGTCTGAATTACATTCATTACCCCTCTGTTACAGTTCAGTCCCCGTCTATTGTTAATACCAAAAGGGTCCGAAGATCATGACAATTTCAGACTCGTGTCTGTTGATTTAAGTGAAGTCCACTGAGGATTGATTTTTTTTTTTATTTTATTTTTTAAAAAAACCTTGTTGTAAAATTTATTTTTTGAAGAAGCAAGTGAATTATTATCTCTCAAGTTTTCCTACAATAAAGAAGAATAATTTTTCTAAATAGCATGCATGTTGGAAGATACATGTCAATGGATTAAACTCCTTTCTTTTAAGCGTGTTTTGGTGTCGTAAAACAAAGAATAGTGTTGCATTGTTGCTCATGAATTAGTTTTCTAGTTCTCAAAAGTCTTAATAAATGCTAATCCTTAGCATATGAAGACCGAAATACGTTTATTGTCGGTGATACAGATGAAGAATGTGCAAAACTGAATCATTCCCGTGCCATTAATTACAAAGGTTTTGGAGCTCTCCTATTTTGACAATAATGTGAAAATCCAAAGAAAGAACATGCAATCCCGATTCAACCAATCTACTTAATTTTGGATTCAGGCTGTATATAATCAACAAAAAAAATTTCAAAAAAAATTAAACACAATCTCGAATTTTTCAAAGGATTTATAACTGTTAGCTAAATGTTTAGATTTTTGGTATTGTTGAAGTAAGCATATATAAATAGTGCAAGTATGTCTTAGCATTTTAATTAGTTCGATCTTCCAATAATCTACAGAGAAAATTGTCGGTAACAATTTAAACTCAGTCACGTCTGTCAATCTTATTCTATAAGAAGTAATTTAGATTAATCCATGACGTAATTTAGACGTAATTTTGATTGTTTTAGTCATTTCTCATCGATCTAGTCGTCTATATGCCTTCGCAGATTCAAAAAAAATTCTAATCACATATCAACAGCCAGGCTCCAAGTTTTTGATGCAGCCAAATTTAACTTTTTTTTTTGTAAATGAAATTTTTTGTATGTGTTTGACATCGACATGAAAAACACACACACACACACATGCCCGTCGAATTAACAGTACCTAAGACAATGCTGGAATAGGTAAACAATCAGATGAAGACTCCAATTAAAAGAAAGCATGTACTGATGTGACAAAAATTTGGACAAATTATTGATGAGCTCCGTGCAAATAATTTGAGAATGTGTCGATGTGAATGTTCTATAATATTTACAGCATTCTCTATCTAATACAAAATTATGCAACAAGTAATATTTCGTATGAACGAAAGGATTCAATTTCTAAAGAAAATGGTTTCCACGGCCAGGACTGATGAGAGAAACGTTAAAAAAAAAAATTAAAATACAAAACTCATTATTGTGGCGATTAAAATACTTTATATGTCTTTATCTTTATTTGGTAGAAGAACATTGAAATTTTAGCTAATAATAATTTCAGTAGATTAATTATGAATATTTATTGGTGATTATGATAGAACAGACATCGTAGTTATCTTGTGTTTGCAGCCAGCTATGTAGTATTATTGAATGGATTAAGAATCGTCGTGAATTTCGTGCACTTATAAGACAACTACAGCAGAGAAAAATGGACCCGTGTATGTTATCCTTTTTATATATATATATTTATATATATATATATATTTGCATAGTGCCTACAGTCGACAACAGTGATCAATCTCTCTCACTGAATTATAGGCACCTTAATGGGTGGAACAACTTCTCCTCTTTATTTCTAGCTTATTCTCCTTTCTACTTCTTTTTTTTTTTCCTTTTAATTTTCAACGTATTATATAAAATATTGTTGTTGACCATCGGAATATTCTCACCACAGAAACAAATAACGAAACAGAATCAATTATTGAATTAAATGTAGGCCGATCAGTTGGGCTGAATTATATGCTTACATCATCTGATAATACAATGTGCTATTGAAACGTTAATTGCAGAAGATATTGCGTTACCTGCGTTTCAGACATTTTGTTTAAAAGATGCATTATTTGTTCTAAAATGATTTTTAAAAATTTTAAACTATTTTTGATATAACAAACAGTATAATCATTGTAAGACAAATGGAGTATTAATTTGCCATATAATCTTAACTATATGCCAATTGGTTTTGATGTTTGAAGCCTTACAAGATTGTTGACCATAGTTGAAAAAACACTTTTCTTGACTTTACTCTCAAGAAGGGATCTTAGAACGATAATTACCAAAGATTAATTGCTGAAGTACTGCCTTACCCTACCTCTATCAATAGTAGACTGTCTAAAATATATGCAAAAGATTCCTATTCTATAACCCAAAATCTTCAATCTACGAGTGGATATTACCTTTACATCGATTGTAATTGTTCTTTTAGACTTGCCTAAGAGTTCGGTCTCTGGTATTGCGCCTATTCACTCTTCCTAAGACTATCTAGAAGAGTATGACGGTTGATAGAGGGAGAACATAAAATAAAATTACAATGTTAAAGAAAAAAATTTGTGATTAATTGGACATTTTGACGAACGGTATCAGGGTAAATGATATCTATGATTTTCTTCTATATTTTCTGGCTTTTGAAAGAAGATATTCACATTCAATCAATTCCACTTACAGTCCTAAACTTCAAATCAATCAAGAATTTGTTCAAATTTGCATTGGAGTTAGATATAATAGATGCACGGGAATTAGATGACAGTTTAGTAGTTAGATTGTCGTCTTTCTTAGTGATAGACCGTGGTTTAATTTTCACCAGGGGTTGTAAGAGAGATTTTAGAAAAAATAAAAAAAAAGGTACTCCTATAATAGATGCACAGTACTAAAAACTACTCAACGGGAATATCAAATTGTGGAATGTAACCGCTTACATTTATCTCATTATTCCGACAAGCCAAAAAAAAAAAAAGAGAGAGCGAAGGAAAGCCATAACAATACCACACTCAACTCAATATTTCGTGACAAATATTTGATGTGACCCCATAAGGGAAAAAAAAAACTATTGTTTCTATATGATTGAAAATTAGATGAGATTATGCATGTTATACCTAATTCTTTCTTGAACTCGAACTCCGACCTTAATTGGCACCTTTAACTGCCTCTTTGCCAATAATCAATGCTCTTTGTGCCTTTGTGGCCAGCCCGCAAAGTCGTGCCAAATTTTCAATCATAAACTCGTGTTCACGTTTTAGTACTAATTATGACATAAACGATTAACAATTTAACATAAGACAAACCTCATTTCTTCATCAACTCCTAAAAGGTGCAATAAATATCTCCAATGAAGCGCACTAAATCTTCGAATTGGCAAAAGCTAAAAGCTCCACTCTCCTAATTAACTTCATTTTATTCCATGCTTCCATCACAGAACCTTGGCATCTCCATATAGAACTTCAAGGAATATGTTCATTATTATTAAGGTTAACTAGCTAAGTACACGGTAGCATATCTTTGGGTTGTTGTATTCATTTAAAGATAGATATCAATAATGGTAGAAGCTCAAATTAGCAACACCTTGAGAATAGCCCTCCTCCTAGTTAGCAGTTTAGTTTTAGCCATTGGAACATGCGGAAACCCTATGGTTGTCCGGCTTTATTTTGTCAAAGGAGGCAAAAGAATCTGGTTTTCAAGCTTCCTACAATCCGCCGGATTCCCTCTTCTTCTCATCCCACTATGTATCTCCTACTTCAACCGCCGACGCCGCCGCGGCACCACCGCCAACACAAAGCTCTTCCTCATGACTTCCCGACTCTTCTTGCCATCCATTTTTATCGGCTTACTCATCGCCTTAGACAATTATTTCTACGCATACGGCGTCGCAAGGCTGCCGGTTTCCACGGCCGCGATTGTGGTGGCGTCCCAGCTGGGATTCACCGCCATGTTTGCTTTCCTCATAGTGAAGCAAAAGTTCAGTGCCTATTCGGTCAACGCTATCGTTTTGTTGACTTTGGGTTCCGGAGTTTTGGCGTTACATACGAGTAGTGACCGGCCAGAAGGCGAGACGACGAAATTGTACGTTCTGGGATTTATCATGACGCTGGCGGCTGCGGCTTTGTATGGATTGGTTATGCCGCTGACAGAGTTGATGTTAATGAAAGGAAAGGCAGTTGTTACTTTGACATTGGTCTTGGAAATTCAGCTGGTTATGTCCATATCTGCTACTATTCTTTGTACGGTTGGGATGCTCATAAATCATGATTTCCAGGTAAATAGTATTTTATCTATCTCAAAATTATTGTTCAGTTTAAAATTTTATTTTTAATATAATTTGAACTAAAATTAAAAATTCGAACTGGATGATAATTTCGGGACGGAAGGAGTAATATTTAAATTAATTATTGTCTTGGTTCTTCTGAAAAGCTTCAAAATAATTGGAAATGGCTACGGGATTGCGCCTTATTTATGTAACATATGAGTTTAGGATGGTAAACAACTATAAGAGAATGTTTAGGTTGTATTTTATTGTTGAATGAACCTGTCTTTCCATATTAACTATGTACAGCGATGAGATTGATCGCTGCTAGCTCACTGTTCTGACGTTGGACTGCAAACATGGAAATAAAATAAAAAAAATTGTAAAGCTAAAAAGGGAAATGAGAGTAGTGGAAGAAAATGAGTGCGTTTGCATTAGTGCAACTATTGATAATGAGAAAATTTTAATTTCCCTTTGAAATTGAGTTGTTTACTTTTTATATTATCTTAATAGTTACTTAAGTACTATACGGCAAAAAATAGTTATTCAATTGCATTAGCGTTAAATTTGTTCCCTCTCTAATATGGCATATCAAAAGAATTTAGTTTTGAATTAGGCCCTGTTTGATAAATCAATTAAGCACTTAAACTTATTAATTAAGTACTTAATTGATTAGCACTGTTTGATAAAATATAATCATAACAACTTAATTGCTTAAGAACTTAATTTATTAAGGACTTAAATTTTAAGTGTGTTTGATAACTCAAAGTAGGATGTCTTAATAAATTAAGTGGGTCTGAAATGCTAGTACAAATGTGAGCATAAAAATAAGTGATAGACCTATCACTTATGTCTGAACTGAATTCTTGAGACGATTTTTTTTCTATTTATTTATTTTTATGTTTATACTTTTGATATTTTATCTTGAAATATTTTTATTAATCATGATGTCTAGTTCTAAATTAAAATTTATGTAAATTATTTTTTATTTAATAAATATTTATTTTTATATAAAAATTAAAATCCATTAAATTCCGTGATCAATATATCTTTACCATAAAATATGAATTTTTTTTGACAATGATAAAATATGACATTATTATTAACTGAAAAAATAATAACATAATAAAATTTAAATATTTTTATCACATTATTTAATAATATTATTATTATTTTTGTTATCATAGTTTCATATACATCTATTATTTTTTAAGATAAAATTATAAGTCGAGATACTTTAAATTTCAGTATTCAGACTTCAGTTTTCAGACATTTTATTCAGTGTTTAGATTTTGGTTTTATCAAACACAACAAATTTAATCAATTTAGTACTTATAATTCGGTCTTCAGATTTCAGACTTCAGACCCAAATTAAGTTTTACCAAACGGACCCTTACACAAACAAAAAGGCAACGAAAAAAAATGTTTGAATGTATATTATATAAAGGAAAATGTTATGTATAGTTTAATTGCAAACAGAAAACCAAAAGGCATTATCATTATTAACGTGTCCTTAATTAATTATGTGAAATGTAGGCAATTCCGCGAGAAGCAAGAGCATATGAAATAGGAGAAGCAAATTACTACCAAGTAGCAGTGTGGAACAGCATAACTGGCCAAATGTTTTTCTTGGGAGTCATCGGAGTAATCTCCTGTTCTTCATCGTTGTTGTCCGGAATCATTATCTCGGTTTTGCTTCCGGTAACTGAAGTTTTGGCAGTTATTTTCTTCAACGAGAAGTTCCAAGCAGAAAAGGGCGTTGCACTTGTCTTGTCCCTTTGGGGTTTTGTTTCATACTTTTATGGCGAAATCAAACATAACAAGAAGAAGAGTAAGGAGGAACTGCCAGTGGATGACCAGAAGAACTCTTCTCAATCAACTGAGATTTTGATGGTGACTCCCATTGTTGACCAATAGATTAATCCAGAGTTGATTATAAAAATCACATGCCAAAGACTTTTACTCCCGAGTTGTACCAAACTACGATCTAATAATTGTTGAAAAAGAAGTTTATACGTTGTAAGTTTTATTTAACTTACTCGCGAAATGATGAGGCAGCGCAACATCTAGTTTTGAATGTTGGAATTTTCCATCTTTTTATTTAAATACATACTCTGTCACAAACATTTTCAAATATTTTTTCTAATTGAAAAAGACGAATACATTGGGTGAAAAGGATATTACTATGAGTGTCGCATATGACTGTTCAAAATACTTCAAGTTGTTGCATATTCAAACTAAAGTTTCTATAATATACTTGATTAAACCTTATGAGTAGTACTAATAATTGGGCAGAAATCGAATGAAAACGTCAAGCATTGTAGTTGAGGGCGGATATTTATCCAAAACAATGATGCTTTATGTATATATCCCTAGCTATATAGTCTTCTTAATTAAGTTTCACATGATCAATGACGAAACAAGAACTTTCAAACTGAAAGATCGAAAAAAAAAAAAAGAGTAACTCAATCCTCACTACATCGGAATCAAACTGTAAAGATTTCTTTCACCGCATACCACCTAAAAGAAAATCCGGCTGGCTGGAGTCGATCGACCCCACTACCCTTAAATTAGTCCATGTGGATCACCTAGAGGGGTGAAGACATGGATAACAGTTGAATTGTGACAAAGTTGATTTTAAACTCACGCCTTCCTTATTGTAATTTTTTAAATTCTTTTCAAAGGAAAAGAATTGCTTTTCTTTTATATTGGTATTCTGAAAAAAGCAATAACATTTTTCAAATACATATGTCGCCACATTCATATTGATTTAAAGAGTTAGCACTATGTTAGGACCACATCCCGGAAGAAAAAAAATCTTTCTAACTATACTCTTTGTTGTATCTTCTTAACTATCAGTCAACATGGTTTATGGAGATGACGATTGCATGGACTCGTAGCCTCGAGCGGTATATTCTAGGCATTGTCGTCATACATCAAAACAGAGTTACCACATACGCAAAGCCTCGACTCCAGCCGCAAAACCCCACAAAATATAAAAAGAAGAATACCAAAATAATGGAAATTAAATGCAACCCACTAATCCACATTCCATTTTGTAAATCTTCTCCTGTCCAACATTCCGTAAAAACAAAAGCATGCATTTCCATAGTTTAGTTCTATCACAATTAACATTACCTATAATGGATTAATTATTATATCTCTCCCTTGTTTTTCTTTCCATAGAATTTTCTACCACATATAAATTCTAAATGCCAGATCGATCAATACATAATGCCATCAAAAAAAGAAGAAACAAAAAAGTTAGTAGAATTAAAAGATCATGGAAGAAACGCAAGTGAGCAACACCATAAGAAAAGCCCTTTTAGTCATAAACTGTTTAATACTAGCCATCGGAAACTGCGGCGGACCAATGATAATGCGTCTATATTTCATCAAAGGAGGCAAGAGAATTTGGTTCTCGAGCTGGCTACAGAGTGGAGGATGGCCTATCATTTTCATCCCGTTACTCATCTCCTATTATTACCGCCGTAAAACACAAGGTTCCCAAAACACAAAACTGGTCCTCATGAAATACCCGGTTTTCGTCGCCACAGCAGTCATCGGCGTACTCACCGGTTTAGACAATTACCTGTACGCCTACGGGGTTGCCCGGCTTCCCGTGTCGACCGCGGCCATCGTGATCGCGTCCCAGCTCGGTTTTACGGCGTTTTTTGCTTTCTTTCTCGTGAAACAAAAGTTTACTCCCTATTCGGTCAACGCCATCGTTTTGTTGACTTTTGGAGCCGGGGTTTTGGCGCTGCATAGCAGCGGAGACCGGCCTAAAGATCAGTCGAAAATGTCATACGTTTTGGGGTTTATTATGACACTGGCGGCTGCGGCTTTGTATGGGTTGATTTTGCCTATGGTGGAGTTGATGTATATGAAGGCTAAGCAAGCTATTACTTATACTTTGGTGTTAGAGATTCAGCTGGTCATGTGCTTCTTTGCCACTGCTTTTTGCACTGTGGGGATGCTCGTAAACCATGATTTTCAGGTGAAACCAACATTCTTCGTCACGTAATTATATTCAGTTTATTAAATTATTATAGTCTAAAGAAAATAAATTAGTTATTATTACGGGACAGATTGAGTAATTGACTTTGAGAATAAATTACAATGATTTTTCAATCATATTAATCTCGTGCATGTAACTTAGAAAGCATTGATTCAAATAGTCAACTCCAATTTATCTCGACGTTTGTAACTCAGAAAGCATGATTTTGACTTGATGATGACCTTAATTAGATTTTATTAAGAGCTATATGAAACTTTTCTTAAGATGAAAATTTTAAGCAGATTAAAGACCAACTTAAGTGACTCCGAATCAGTCTTAAATTAAATTTTGATAAGTGCCCATTTAAATTTTAATTTTGCTATGCAGGCACTTCCGAGGGAAGCAAGAGAATATGAGCTAGGAGAAACAAAATACAACCTTGTGATAGTATGGAGTGCCATAGTTTGGCAATTCTTCTTTTTGGGAGCTATTGGGGTAGTCTCATGTGCATCATCATTAGTCTCAGGGATAATGATGGCGGTTTTACTACCAGTCACACAAGTTTTAGCTGTTATTTTCTTCAAAGAAAAATTCCAAGCTTTGAAAGGCGTTGCCCTTGTCCTTTCCCTTTGGGGTTTTGTTTCGTATTTTTATGGCGAAATTAAACATAACAACAAGTCTGAGTTGGAAGAGAAGACCCCTTTTCGAGCTACAGAGATGATGGTTACTCCCACGACTGACCCTTAGAAGTATATAATCTCTTGTTATTTTGTAGCAATTATTTCCTTCTTGATTTGGCCTTACAGGTCCAAAATTGATTGAATAATAGAAGTCTTTTTTATTTGTTTAATGTGCTAATCCGCCAAATTTTTAAGATGATGAAAATTCTAAATCCTCACATTGTTTCAAAATTATTATTCAGTTTGCATTTTATTTTAGTATAATTTGAACTAAAATTAAAATCTAAATTCGACAATTTTTTGAGAACGGAAAGAGTACATGATTTTGTGATCGCATCAGGGTATCAATTTCTAGTCAATAGACAACCTATGCCCCTGTATCGTTGTCATATATAGAAGCCAAATGAATCCGCCGTGAATCCACCTTTCTGTGAATTCTTTATCCAAACTGATGATTAAATGAAGTCCAAGTGATGCATCATTGAACTTGTAAAGATAAGATTTTAACAAAAAAAAGAAAAAGGCAGGTTGATTAGTCTAACATTTCACATAAATCATTTCATAAATCATGAGTTCAAGTGCATTGCGCCAAGAGATCTTATTGGTCACAAGTTGCATTCTTCTTGGATTTCTTTTGTTTTCACTATTTACTATTCACTCTCTTTTTCCTCAAATATGTATAGTATATAAGACGTCATCGTGTTTTCAGTCGGGTTACCTGTATAGATTGGTCCAACAAAGCACTTCAAAGCATTGTTATTGGACAAGTTGGAGGACATTCTTGATTTAAGTTGACATGAAATCACACTTTTCCTCTCCTTAATTTCTTGTCTTTATACTAATACAATAAATAGGGTTAGTTAAACGTTACAATCTGATGATAACGAGGTTCCATCTCTAAGTACACTTTCTCTAATGACAAGAATTTGAATCTTTCTTCCACAGTTTCACATTTGCCAAAAAAGCACGTCATGCCAACGCCTAACAGGAAAGCAGATTTTTTTTTCTCAGACCTTATATTTGTGGTGCCTAATGACAAACCTAGGAATAATTTTCCTAGATTTAGGACAATATTGTATACTAATAACAATATCAACAGTACAAACTCCCCCTTTTATGGGAAGGTCAAAAGATTTAAAATAAATATCTTAATTGATTACGCAAAGGGCAAGATTTGGTCTTTCCTCGGTCAATTTTCTGCGTTCTAGTTGCCTCAACGAGTCAACGTCCTTTGTAATGAATTTTATTTCAGGTTTTGTATGAAACAGAAGCAACGAACAGATCTTTTGTTTAGGTGATAAAGATTCTTGGCGTTTAATAATAAGAGTCGGTATTAGTATAATGTAAACTCCTTCTGTCCTAAAATTATTATCCAGTTTGAATTTTCACTTTTAGTTCATTTTGTATTATAAATGAAAATTCAAAATGGACAATAATTTTGGGACGGAGGGAATACTAAAGAAATTCAACAATTAGTTGGATTGATGAATTGATGATTAATTGGCTATTGATGATGAAATAAGAGTCGGTATTAGATATAATATATACTTACTCTATCTCAAAATTATTATCCAGTTTGAACTTTCACTTTTAGTTTATTTTGTACTATAAATAAAAATTCAAAATGGACAATAATTTTGGGACGGAGGGAATACTAAAGAAGTTAAACAATTAGTTGGATTGATGAATTGATGATTAATTGGCTATTGATGATGAAAAGAGAGTATATATCTTAGTCTTCCTTTTATCTTTTGAGTCAATTGAGATGGCGGGGATTAGCTTTAGCCAAAAAACAAATCAAACCATATCTCTTTGGCTTCGAGCTTAATGTGGAGTGGCATTGTTGTCTTAATTGTCATTTCATTATCTTACGGCATTTTGAACTTTTCTCATTCGATTTTTTCTTCCTAAGAGAAAAAACAAAATTCTTCTACTTAATATTTTCTGTTATAAACTAGTTATTGAAGAATCACATCATAGTATGAACGCATTTGCGTTTACATTTAATGTTGTTAGTCTTGGTATAAATTTTAGGCTTGAAAGTACAAACTTAAATATGAATATTACGTTACTGTAGTACAACTAACAAGTGATAGTTAATGGTAAAAAAATTGTGATAATTAAAATCACACAATGAAATTAATTAACCAAATCGAAGCAATGCCCCTTATGATCATGTACTTTTACTTGATGTCATCTTAATTTTTTCACAAAATGAAATCGTACTTGTTTGTAATCTATATGGTCAAACCAGTTTTTACGTACCCACTTGTAGTAATAATTAAGGAAAAATTGATTGTTTTCTTTTTATGTCAAACTCTTACCATTTACCAAGGTTGCTTCCGGCTAGCGAGCATATGGCCAATCCAACAAGAACATTGAATGACATTATCAATTTGACCAAAGACTTAAATTCGCATCATCAAGTAAAAACACACCAAAAGGTCCAAAACGAAACCAAAAATGATATGCTCATTTATTGAAAAGGAAGTGGCACTAAAATCTTAAAGTCGGCCAGCAATATATGATAGATCCAATGTGGATGAATTGCAGCTTCTCTCTGGACCTATCCCATGTCTATTTTACTTGAGTTGAATAATCATCCTCGATCTGCTGAAACATCTATTTGGTGTCGTGCCAATTTTGCTATCCTAAAGCTTTCAGGATTCACCAAATGAACTTACATTTCAGTTCCGCCATGATATTATAGAGGTTATAGTTTTACATTTCAAAAATATAATAGTAGTAAAATAGTTTAGGTTCTCACCATTTTACACACAAAAAAAAATTTGTCGCTTACTAATATTAGTAATTTAATTATTTCATTATAATAAATGTAACTTTTATTTCAAAGCTCGGGGAGTATTACTATGTATTTAGGCCAAGCTTTCTTCCTCAATAAAGTTAAGATAAAATATGAAATGAACCACTGAACCTTGAAAATGTGGCACACACCAAACTCACTCCATTTTCTGGGGAAGTCTTTCCAACCAGTCAAAAATATCATCCATGGGATCCTCTCCTCTTCTCTATTTTAATCAAAATTTCATCCATATATACACGTGATTTCAGTCCGTGTACCTTCAATTAAAGCAAGAAAAAGAAAAAGCCAAAAAAAAAACAAACAAACAAACAACCACCATGGAAGAAGAAGCTCAAGTCAGCAACACCTTGAGAAAAGCCCTCCTCATAGTTAACTGTTTCATACTAGCCATCGGAAACTGTGGTGGCCCTTTAATCATGCGGCTTTATTTCGTCAAAGGCGGCAAGAGAATCTGGTTTTCGAGCTGGCTCGAAACCGGAGGATGGCCAATCAATTTCATCCCATTACTAATCTCTTATTTCTATCGCCGGAAAAAACAAGGCCCGAACACAAAGCTCATCCTCATGAATTACCGTATCTTCATCGCCAGCGCCGTCATTGGGGTGCTCACCGGCTTAGACGACTACTTGTACGCTTACGGTGTCGCGAAACTCCCCGTCTCCACTTCGGCGATTGTGATCGCGTCCCAACTGGGATTTACTGCCTTGTTCGCTTTCTTTCTTGTGAAACAAAAGTTTAACGCCTTTTCAATCAACTCCATAGTTTTGTTGACTCTGGGTTCCGGGGTTCTGGCACTGCACACTAGTAGTGACCGGCCGGAAGGCGAGTCGAGTAAGATGTACATTATGGGGTTCCTCATGACGCTTGCGGCAGCAGCTTTGTACGGGTTGATTTTGCCTATGGTGGAGTTGATGTACATGAAGGCTAAGCAAGCTATTACTTACACGTTGGTGCTCGAAATTCAGCTGGTCATGTGCTTGTTTGCCACTGCTTTTTGCACTGTTGGGATGATCGTGAACCGCGATTTTCAGGTACTTACTCTAAACTTTCATACATGAATAATGGAGGGTGAAGACACAATTCAGTCTAAATTTTTTATTTGTAGTACAAATCATATTAAAAGTAAAATGCAAACATGACAACTATTTCAGAATCCGGAAAATATTTACATGATTTTTCATTAGAGATTAGTGTGCTCCTAATTCTACCATTTTTCGAAGTCATAGGGCCACATCTATTAATTGAATGTCTATATACAATATAATAACTAACTAATTACCGTTCATCATCATCATCATCATATATCCTGTTCGAATAGGAAAAATTAAGCAAATTTCAGAATCCATGCTCATGCTTTGAGGGCCATTTTAGAGAATTTTTTTTGAAATTCCATTACTATCTCTGACCAAGAATGAAAATCTATACAGTATAAAAAGGAGTATATTTTTATATTTTTCAAAGTACTAATGAAGTAATGAACTGAAGGACGTAATGTGGACTAGCCTTGTATCTTGACGTGTTTTTCCCTTTGCCGCCCAACTTAGTGCCAGACATTAAATGGTAGGCAGCTAGATTTGATTGAGACTATAACTTCATATCAATAAACTATTATCTTCTTCCCTTAATGATTTTTTTTTATGATAGGATTTAATACAATGAGTATAATACTCATTTTGAAAGAAGAGAATATATATAGTTTTTTCTGTTTAATTTCTTCTTCCTTTTAATTATTTCAAATGTTTTTTATTTTTTGGATGCCGGGCTTCTTGGAATTCCTTTTTTTTAATGGAAAATTGGTCAGTTTCAAAACCCTATTTTCGTCTTTGTTCAACCCATATTTCAACTTAAACTTTCAACTTTGAGGAGAGTCTTTCTTGTGGAGTTTATTATAATTTTATATGTAAACTTAGCTTAATTTACAGAGGAGAGTTAGAAGCTTTACCTTTTAAATATGTAGATGGAAAAACAAAGATGCGAGTGTGACACCCATTTTTCCATTTTAAGTTCTTTTCAATTTTATTTTCTCTATTGGAGGGGGCGTCCACTAAAATTTACGATATGCCTTACTTTTTATCTCTACACGTTTTGGTATTAATAGATAATCGTTTCCCTATATATTAATCGTATAAATGTCTTTATCAGTCCTCCACTTATCTTGCGATTGGCGTTAAGGTTGAAAAGATAGTATATTCCAATGTCTTAGAGATGACCAAAGTGTTAAGTTTTGAACAATTGCCTAGTAACTTTTTCCTTTTGCTAAGGACATCAACCCCCACTTTATTTATCAAACATTAATTATTAAATTTTCCATTTCCTTAACTTTCAATTGCGTAACGAAATATCTGGAGGATACATAATTGAATATTACGAGTCTAATTCAATCAATCAATTCATGAACAATAAAACAAAAAAAATTTAGTAGTACGTTGGAAATTTCCACTAGTTGTCTGTTACGTTCTAACACAACCTTGTCCAAATATTAGTCAATTGTCTATTTTTAGTATGAACTTCATTTTGTTTCTTTTCTTAATATAAAACAAATCAGGTGAAATTGCTAATTATTACTTAATTAAGTTTGGAATATCTTCAATAAATAACTGGAGTACAATAGTCGGCCGCTCGAAGCTTCTAGCTAGCCTTATAGTTAGCTGTAACGTTCCCAGCACCAGATGGCAAAGTAATGAACTCCACAACCTATATCCAACTTCTGTGTGTACTTCGGACTTAAATGCTTTACGACAATGATTGAATGGCCATTGGTCTAAAAATTTATTTTCTTGATAATAATTTTGAGATGGAAGAAAATGCCGTAATGCTTGAAACTTCTAAGCCGGCCCTTTCAAACAGTCAAGTAAATCTGTCCTAATTGAATTTTACCACATTTATACGTGTTTCGAAATGGGTTTCTATTTTGTGTCTCAACTATAGTCTATATATCACTATACTTGATATTATCTAAGAATTACGTGTAAAACATTTATCTTTTTGTTACGTACCAACAAATACAAAATTATTCTTGTTTTGTACTCCTTTTGTTCTGAAATTATTGTCCAATTTAAATTTTTAATTTTAGTACAATTTGAACTAAAAATGAAAATCGAAACTGGACAACAATTTTAGAATGGAGGGAATATTTTTATTTTTTTAATGTACATCACTCATTTTGTTGAACTAATGATTTGTGAATGTAGGCAATTCCACGAGAAGCAAAAGCATATGAGCTTGGAGAGAAGAAATACTACTTAGTGGTGGTATGGAGTGGCATAATTTGGCAATTCTTTTTCTTGGGAGCCATTGGTGTAATTGCTTGTGCATCATCGTTGCTATCCGGAATCATGATCGCGGTGTTGCTTCCGGTGACCGAAGTTTTTGCCGTTATTTTCTTCAGCGAGAAATTTCAGGCAGAAAAAGGAGTGGCACTTGTCCTCTCCCTTTGGGGTTTCGTTTCTTACTTTTACGGCGAAATCAAACTCGAGAAGAAGAGGAAAAAGAAAATGTCAACAAATGATGAAAAGAATCCCCCTTCCAATGAACCAGCTGAGCTGATGATGACTCCACATGTTGCCCCACAAAATTGTTAGTAAAACAACAAATCTTTATTTTAATGAGTAGCTTATAAAATCTAGTAGAAATTAGAACTTTAGTAGAACCCCTTAATTTTCTCAATGAAAATTATTTACTTTAAAGAAGTTTTATCGCATTTCCCCGTATGAGCCCTTCAAATTAAGTCCATGATTAGTTGCACTTGCGCAAGGATCAGTCAATGAAGCAACAATTTAAATGAAACTCAAAGAACAAAAGCCTTCAGCTTGGGAACAAGCATGACTTCCTCCTGTCACGATTTGTACATTAGCATAGTAATTTATGTTTTAAGTTTTCCAAATTGTCCATAATTGATACGATCATCACTTCTTTTAAAATGTTTGTTTAGATATAAATACACTACACATGGGTGGAATTAAATTAAATTCTTCAACTAGCATATACCAGAATGATTGAGATTCCAGTGACTCACAAGTCAATGAATAAACATGTCAGGTCAATTAATACTAGTAATGCATGGGCCAATTCCTCGAGATGGATGTGGAAGATGAGGATCATATCGTTCATACATGCATAGATGTAAACAACAACCGTTAGTTAGATTCGGCCACACATACGCGTTTAATATTCCAAAGAAACGTGGAAAAAAAAACACTTCGACACCATATTCATAGTCATGTCTCAAGAATTAATTAAAACAGTATTCAGTTCAAAAAAATTGTCTAATTTATATTCTCATTTTTACTTCAATTCGTACTTAAATAAAAAATAAAAATAATAAACTCAATAATTATCTCGGAACGAAAAAAATATTATACACGTGTAAATATTCTTTTAAGATGGAAGAAAAGTGCGTTATAAAACTTTAATGACGAAAATTTTCTATCGTTAACACACATCTCACAAATCACAACAATCATAATCATAATTTGCTAAACATTCAAAACGGAATTGGAAACAGAGCACAACTTTAACGAGCAAATTTCTTTTAAGAAATTGGGAGTTCTTTCCTGTTAAAAGTTACTCTATCGATATATTCTGGATTGATATGATGAAATAATGATTGGTGATTGATGATGAAAATAAAAAGTAGACAGGTATCGGTATCAAAGTGCTCCTTTTAATCTTTTGAGTCAAGAGAGATGGCTGGTATAATTAGATAGCAATTATAAGGCCCCAGTTCGATCCCTTTCAGCTAGCTAATGAAATATCTCACTAGTAAGAGTGTGTTTGCATTTACATTTATGAAATTTTATGTTTTGACAGAATTAATAGTTTCATCTAGATTCTATTAGTTTTACAAATAGGAAATAGTTCTACAATTAGTGATTGTAATGAGAATACAAAAATGAAATACTTTTACATACATCACAATATGTCCATGGTTTTCTTCCCCAATTGGATAACAGTAACACCAACTACATAGTACTTTGGCTAGAGCGCGCTATAAAAGCTCAAATTATACCTTTCAGTGACAAGAAGTCTCGTAGATTTACTAAACAATGAATCGGTTATATAGATGATGTATTGTTATTGTGTTCGGTTGTCATACAAACTTTGATATGATTTTACAAATATCTCATGTCATTTTCATTAGTTTTTTTCCTGAATCTTTTGTGGTCGATTACTTCTCTTTTTTAATTTGAATTAGCTAGTAATTCTGATATTTTCCCCCTCTAACTAGCTAGAGTATTTATGGGGACCTTTTCAAGCTCTTTCACTGGTATGGGAGATTGGAAGCCGAAAGGTGATTGTTGAAGTGGATAATTTGAGTATCATATATCATGATGGTTCAAGGAGAGAAGGAGATTTTGGATATAAACGCAGGTTTGGTGAATGGAATTTGGGAGATTTTGAAGTAGGGTTAGGTAGTCGAAGTAAGGCATGTATCCCGGGAAGCAAACTTTGTGGATGATTATTTGGTGGTGTTAGTAGCACAAGAGTTCGGAGGGTTATAGTGGTTACAAGCTTCTCCACCAGTGTTTTGCCTTGGTTGGAACACGACTATGTGCATGTCCAAACTAATTCTTATGTTTCTAATCGTGATTCTCTCCTTCCCTAATCTATTTATAATCAAACTTATGCGTACTTAGTTAAGGAAAAAAAGGTCTTGGAAAAATGTATTTATATATTAACAAATGTTAAAACACATGAGAGGGGGAGGGACCTATTATACTTAACCTTTAGAAGCACCCGCAACGCACTCTATTTTCCACCCAAAACAATAAAAAATAAAAAAGCATTCATGGTCATTGGTCTCTCGACCTGTCAAAAGAACATACATGGTCTCTCGAATTTCTGCCCTGTTTTTCCTTTGAACATCAAAATTCCATCCACATATATACACCTGACTTCAGTATTCAGTGTAGCATGAATTAAGCGAGAAAGAAAACTAAGGAATATAAAAAAAGATGAATAAAACCATGGGAGACGAAGCTCAAGTTGTTAGCTACAAGTGGAAAAGAGCATTTCTGATATTAAACTGTTTCATACTGGCCATCGGAAACTGCGGTGGCCCTTTGGTGATGCGGCTGTATTTCATCAAAGGCGGCAAAAGAATCTGGTTTTCAAGCTGGCTCGAAACCGGAGGATGGCCTATTACTTTCATCCCATTATTCATTTCCTATTTCCACCGCCGCAGGAAAAACGGCCCGACCACGAATCTCATCATCATGAAATATCCCGTCTTCGTCGCCAGCGCCGTCATCGGCTTGCTCACCGGTCTAGACGATTACTTGTACGCCGTTGGCATCGCCCGACTTCCTGTTTCGACAGCGACCATCGTGATTGCGTCCCATCTGGGATTCACTGCCTTGTTTGCTTTCCTTCTTGTGAAACAAAAGTTCACCGCGTATTCGGTCAACGCCATCGTCCTGTTGAGTTTGAGTTCCGGGGTTTTGGCCTTGCATACAAGTAGTGACCGGCCGGAAGGCGAGTCGACTAAGCTCTACGTTTTGGGATTCGTCATGACGTTGTCGGCGGCGGCTCTGTATGGGTTGGTGTTGCCTATGGTGGAGTTGATGTATATGAAGGCTAAGCAAGCTATTACGTATACTTTGGTGTTAGAGATTCAGCTGGTCATGTGCTTCTTTGCCACTCTTTTTTGCACTGTCGGAATGCTCATAAACCACGACTTTCAGGTAACTTAATGTTTTTGTTTTTTTTTTTTTTTTTGTTTCGGTGAAATCAGGTAACTTAATGTTAATAATAAATGTCGTGAGAAATTCGTCAATGATTGATTAACACTATATTTAGAAACTATCTCTATCATTGTTGTTTTCAGTGAACATTTTGGTATCCCTCTTTATCATCCTTCTTCTTGGAAATTAAATTAAGTTGTTTTAGAGTTATTTGTTGATTTGTTTAATTGGTGGGTTCTTGATCCTTTACTTATTAAATAAATGTACGTAATATACGTCCTCTCAAGTGGTCACCACAAAGAAAAAAATAGGTTATCTTGGAATGATATTGGGGTGCCATGTTAGAAGTTGGCTTCTTAAAATCATCTTACTAAGTAAATCAATATTTATAATTTTGAAAGTGGAAATTGTTGGATATTTATTGGTTTCGCGTGCAAATTATTTAACTAAGATAAGGACAAGCATGATTGCGTGTAAAAGAGAGTCAATTATCAAGGTCTTTTGAGTCTTGACATGGGTTCTTCTCTTTGCAACTTTGTGCCCGATTTTGAATGGCAGGCAGGCTAGATTTTGAATTGCTTACAAAATGAATTTGTGTGTCTGTGTGTCTGTGTGTGTGTGTGTGTGTTTTTTTTTTTGTGTTGGCAGAAATTCTCAAACACCAACACGTTACACAAGCATGTTAATTTACTACTGTCTAGGGTGGAATCGCCATGGCTATTAGACGGCCCGGCCAGATTCCGGCACTGCTAATCAACGGCAGTGGTGGTCTTAATTGAACTCGCAACATACTGGTACGAAATAGATCGTATCAATTCTGTAAGTACAAAAATAAATTCTTCCTTGACTTGTTGAAATAATACTCCTTCACCAACGATTGTCCTACAAACTTTATTCTCCATGTCCAATATCTCGTTCTCTAATTAATTCAAACCTCCCTATCATTTTTCTTTCATGAAAATAGATAAAGTACTAAAAATTAAAATCCATGCTAGACAACAATTTTGGGACATAATATAATTAATATATTTTCTAGGACGGAGAGATTTTAAATTTTGTATATATTCAGCTCCCAAACTGGGGTTTGAACTAATAAAATTAAGAATAAGATATCGGAGAGTGAAGGATGTGAATATGTGACCACTTTAAATGACATATTGTTGATAATTCACATTTTGTTGCAACTAAGAAAAAACCTAGAATATAATAGTTTCCCCTTCTCCAAGCCAAGTACCATATGTGCTCTCATTTTCCATTCCAATGCATTCACTCTATTGAAACTCTCGTTAAGTACTTCATGGATAAATATGACATTCACTAAGTGCTTCACTTATAACTAATCTTTTGTTTTCGTTGTAGGCAATCCCAAGAGAAGGAAGGGCATATGAGTTAGGAGAGAGAAAATACTACATAGTGGTGGTATGGAGTGGCATACTATGGCAATTCTTTTTCTTGGGTGCCATCGGAATTATTTATTGCGCATCGTCGTTACTATCCGGAATTATGATCGCCGTTTTGCTTCCGGTAACCGAGATTTTGGCCGTGATAATCTTCAGGGAGAAATTCCAAGCGCAGAAGGGCGTGGCACTTTTTCTATCCCTTTGGGGTTTTGTTTCTTACTTTTATGGTGAATTTAAACATAACAACAACAGGATTGAAGAAAGGTCAACTGATGTGAAGAACCCTTCTCAATCACCTGAGTTGATGATGACTCAAAATTTTGCCCCACGAAACTGTTAGTAGTTAAACAAAAAATTTGTCGTGCAATAGAAACTCTCTATTTTTAATACTTTTTGCATCTTAAAATAAAAATTCTTATTGATATTATCATGTATATTGTATATATGGAAGTGGATAGAAATTTTGTTAGAAATGAAAGGGAAAATTAATCGGCCTCTTGCACTCTAGCTAAGAACTAGGACGTTTCTCGTCGTGCGTTGCGACGATCATTTCGGATGTTTAGTCAATACGATTTTTTTTTCCTTACAAATGATGTTATCTAATCACAATGTAAAATGTAATACAATTACTAATGTAAAGAATGAAAAAATCACTAACAAAAACTCATATTCATCTGCTAAAGATTATGCTAAAAGTCTTTTTTTTTTCTTTGCTTATCCTCTTTATGTGGTGCTTGGAGACCGATCTTTAAAGCGGAGTGCAATCATGCGAAGCATAGTATTTACAAAATCTGAACAAATTCCTAGCCTGATCGAACTTTTGTCTTGAGAAATTAAGGGCAGCAACTTGAACACTTAGGTACAAGAACAAGATATTAGGCCTCTCATAATCAGCCTAATCAGAATTTCTCTAGCCATCTTGAAAAGATCAACTACGGAATTTCTTAAGAGAACACATAGATGGTTTAGTAATGGCATTTTCATGAATCCGTTTGCCTTGATACATTAATACAAGTTAAATTTAGCAAAAGCAATCCACAAACCATCATAAAATTGCGGCCAGAAGAAGAGTTAAAAATATAATAATAATAATTTTAAACTTTTATGCAACTCAAACAAATAAAGATCAAAGGCCACGTAAATGGAACTTGGTCAGCCAAAAAAGCATCTTTGCATAACGGGGGGTCACTTTATCTCGCATGATGGGCCGACATAATTGAACATTGGTTCCAACAGCGTTGCAACCAGAGTCTGAAGATTGTTAAGCTGCTCAGCCTTTTTGTTTTCAACCTCTGTTCTTTTATCAAACACGAGTTTTCTATTTCCGCAATCTTAAGTAATTCCTATGAACAAATCGCACTTAAGACAAGTTCGTATGCGTTCACAAAACTTAAATAATTAAGCAGCGAAAATTCAACAACAATGCTATCTAAGAAACATTTGTCATGCCACGAATCTCATAAAGGAAGAACAAAGGGCTGGGGGAAATTTATAGATAAAATTATACTTGAAATAGAAAAGCATGAAGGACGAAGAAAGGGCTAGGAAAAATATAGATAAAATTTATACTCGAAATAGAAAAGGTATGGGTTAAGATTAACTATATTATTCATTCCGAGTTGCTTATCAATATATGGTATACTTGTGCAATTAATAAAATCTAATTCTGGAATAAAAATATTATTAAATTGATTCATTCTCTCACATCATTATTAAATCTAATTATGAAATATCATTCTTTCAAATAAAAATTAAATATTCTAATAATTTTGTAACTCTTTCTTCTGTTCATAATTGCTATCATGATTTGAATATTAGGAACAATTTAAGTTTAATAAAAAAAAATCATGAAATCTTGATATATATATATACATATATATATATATATGTCATGAAAAATATTGCTCTAACTCATGAATATTTCATGGAATGAGTATGAACTATGAATATAAAAATTTTTAAATATTTTTTAAATATTTTTATTTTATTTTTAATAAAATTTGCATAATTCTCATGACCATTATTTTATATGGGCATGAATATGGTTTTTAGACTTTTTATTTGTATTAATCTTTCAATTATTAAGAACATGTTGTAAAACTTGGATACACATGATATGAAAAGTGTGACAGTTATTCATAAATATTTCATGAAAAGAGTATGAACCTTTATTGTATACATGATTAATTTATTAAAATTTCTCCAATTTGTGAAACTTGGATGCACGTGATATGAAAAATATGAGTGTTATTCATGAATATTTTATTAAAAGAGTGTTATGTTCACATGATTAATTTATAAAATTTCTCTAATTTGTATGAACATTTCATATAATTTTCACGAACAATCATAGTATATATATGAATAGAAGATTAAACAGATGAAAACCTTTAATTTGTGATTATGTGTAGAATTTTGTAATCAAAAGCTATGAATTTTATGTATATTTGATATGAAAAATATGATTATTATTCATGAATTTTTCATTGTATGATTATGAACCTTTAGTTTTTGTATGAATAAGATTATATTAATTGATTAATATATTTTTTTTGTTTTTGAATTTTCTTTGTAATTACGTTTTGGGCTTGAATACGTGATAAATGATAGCATTAAACATGGAAAGAGAATTGACTAATTTAAAACTTAATATTTTAATTAATTATTTATTCCTTATATAGATTTCATTAATAGACCAGTGCACCATATATGGTGAACCATGTGTACCATAAAGAACTCCTGTCAATCAGTAGATCAGTATTATAATATAGAGCTCATAGGTACACCTTGCAAGGTGTACCTAGTTTGTTGAACACGCACCCAAAAATAGAGGAGATACCAATATTTACATCAATGTCATTTAAGTGCCCATTAAAGTCCCCTTTCTACGGGATTTTTGGATTTTCAAATTTTCATAACCACCTTTTTCTCCTAATTTTCAGGCATTAACCATATCTATTTTCCTATTCCATTCAATCTAATCCGTCTCAAATAAAAAAAAAATCTAAAAAACTAAACATTCTTCTCTGCAGCAAGTTGATAACAAAACCTCTCGTTGGTGGTATTTTTGAAGACGGAGTCAGATTTTGCATCCAATTCTGTGAATTTGGTTTCAATATAATCCACTGAACGTGAGAATTAAGGAAATACATAATTTTATTCATCAGTTTTGCGTGTTTCTTCCATGTATGAAGTTCTAATGATGCTATTTTTTCTGAAATATTCACGTAAAGAGCTACGATACTGAAGAGAGAAAGAGGTAATACTATTAATCTATTCACCGATTGATGAGTTTTTTGGTTGGGTTATGTAGATTTAAGGACTATGCATTAGAGTATAAATGGTTATTCACCAATTCTTTAGTTTTGTTCATCCATTTGTTGTTGATTTTGGAAGGCTTTTCCAGATATGTTCATTATTTAGCATTTACCTATCTATTTTCATCGATAATAAAGGGTTATTTATCATAATAATTGATTCATGTGATAGTTATTCATTTTTTGTTAAATATTACATCTGAATGAATAAATAGAATATGTATATTTTGGTCATATTCATCCATAATATGTGGTTATTCATCTATTTGTATCTTCAACGTGTTGTTCGAATGACCTATGCATATACATGGATATAGTTATTCATCAATAAAGATATATGTATTCATCTAATAAATTTATGACCCTAATACACTAGATCTTCTGTTTTTATTAAGTGAAACAAGATTATTCATCATACATGTAAAGTAGTTGGTGAAGTAGTTATTCATTTCGTATCATATGCTAAATTATTCATCCTCTATTATATTGTTATTCATTTAAAAATTGATCTAATGTAATCATAAGAATATTTGTCATTCATCCTATAATTTGTTACATTCATCCTTTAAACTTGTGTTAGTCATCCCGCAAATGTCATTCATTTTAGCAATTTTTGTTATTCATCATGTAATACGTGCTTGTATATGATTGTAAATATGTTTCATTAATCTTGTAAAACTATGTTATTCATCATGCCAATATGTGTCATTTATAATGTGAATTTCTCATTCATCATGAAAATTTGTGTAATTCATTCTGTAGAGATTTGTATTCATTCCGAAGATGTGTCATTCATCATCAGTGATATTGTTATTCATCTTCAGTAGCATTGTTATTCATCATGTCTTTTATGTTAAAGATGTATTATTCATTTTAGTAGTATTTTTATTCATCATGTAATATGTGATTGTACGCAATTATAAATGTGTCATTAATCTTGTAAAATAATGTTATTCATCCTGTCAATATATGTCATTCATCCTTTGAACATGTGTTATTCATTCCCTAGATATGTGTATTCATCATGCAAAGATATGTCATTCATCACCATGGATGTTGTTATTCATTATGTAATATGTATCCGTACACAATTGTTATTAACTGGATTTGATTTATATAATTTTAATGTTTATTCATTATTTTCAAACTGATTATTCATCTTCAATAGCATTGTTATTGATGATAACAGAGTTTTGATTGAATGAGAAATTTTACTTATTATAATTTTTTTTTATCAGCAACAAAAAAAGGCTCATCAAGATGAACTCGATCGGTCATAAATCAAACATTTGACAAAGTTGCTGAAATAAAACAATCAACATAAACGTATCGAGCACCGACGGATCCTTCAAGACCTTATATGTTAAAAACAATAAGTAGTTTTTTTTTTTTGTTCAATTGTGGTTTAGTATAATACATCATTAGAAGTTTGTTAACTTAGTTGCTAACATTAACTCATTGTAAAATATACTCTTGTTAGTTTTCTTGATTAAAATTATTCATTCTGTTGCCCAATATTCATTCACTAACGACATTTTATTCATTCATTAAGTTACCATTGTTCATCTCACAAAACTATATCTATTCTTCATTTTAGTATTGTTATTCATCAAGGATGGGATCATTATCCATCAATATTTACTTCGTTATTCATCTTTGTAAATATCGTTATTCATTTCAAAATTTAAAGGTATTCAACCACAACTTTGTCACTATAAGAACACTATTATTCATCCACAAAATTATCATTATTCATCGATAAGTATATCATTATTCATCCAAACAAATATCGTTATCCATTAAAAGCTTTCAAATTTGACGCTTAATTCTCGAAATTCCATTATTAATCAGTTGAAATTTTTTGCTCCCATTGATTTTCCAGATTCATAAGCCTCGGTGATGAAGCAGACCAAAATAAAATTCATCGTTATAGAAAAATTAAAAGGATAAGCCCCAAAAAAAAATGGTTTGAAAGAATATGTGTTATAAAAAAAGGGATGAAATTTGAAGGTTTAAATGTACATGCTAGAAAAGGGGATAAAATCTGGAGGTTTAAATGCGCGTGTGATATCATGATTCCTAAACTAAAAACTCCACTCTCTTTTGCCAATATTATAATATACACACCTCCTAGGTACACATTGCAAAATATACCTAGGTGCTTGTTATTATTTGCAATAAGTAGATAGCAAAATAAGATTAC